ATAAATAATATTATTTTATAATATTTTATGTTACGTAATTGTATTTAGTTTTTTGTGCATTAAAGAAAAACATTTAAGTATATTTAAGTATATTTTTTATACAATGTTTTCTAGAATAGTGTATTAAATATGTGCAAAAGTTTTAGTCTTTTTATAACCCTCTGATATAATTATTTAAATTTTAAGTAAATTTCCGATTTTTTGCATTTTTAAGAAATGTTATCAAAATCTATATATACATTGTGTGTGTGTGTGTGTGTGTGTGTGAGACATCATGTCATAATTTAATAATAAATATAAGAACAAAATTGAACAGCTATGCCAAAAAGATCCTTCTAAACATTTGATAGGACATAAATGGTATGTTGCTTTACAATCTGCTCCAACCAGATGAAATAATTATTACCGAATGTTATAATGGTAAAATAAAAAAAAAATATAATTAAATGTTAGATTCGATCCAATACCGTTTTGTTTATTTTTTATCTAATGGCTACATTCCGTTTTTCACTGCCATTGCAAGCACTGAAAATTTATAATTCACATATTTATGGTATAGGTATTACCTATACCATAAATTTCCAGTACTCGTGAATAATAGAATGCGACTCATATAAATAAATACATTTAAAAAAGTATCACCAAGAAATCTAATAAAATAATCCACTTTTAAAGCTATTGTTTTGCCGAGAAAAATATGTCAAGATATAAATAATTTTTATTTAGTTAAATCATTTGATTAACAAAATCAAATAGAAAATCAATTTAGCAATGCAAACTAATTCATTTACTAAAAACCGGAGTTATTTTGCAGTACAACAACATGTTATTATTGTACTCAAGGAAAAATTCAGGTACATGTATATCATGTGAATTTTCAAAAGTTTGATACTAAAATATGGAGTTTACCGTTGTAAAAATAATAGATAATATTCAGGTACCAATAAGCCAAAAGAGTTACAAAGTTTTAAAGTAAAGTTTGGAATGACCACACGTGCTGAACAGATTCACAGCAAATGGCCGAAAATGGGCTTGCGTCTAGTTACAGCGTCTATTGTGAGTTGAAAATGTTGAAAACTCATTTTAATTCCCCCACAAATGCTTAAGAATTGCATTAAATACTTTTAACATGCATTATACTATAATATATTTGCATTATATTTTCTGTTTAATAACATCCGAGAGAATAATTTCTTGTTAGATGTTACATGGATTCGTCAAGAGAGACATTTCAGCCATTTTCTGATATTTGTAACATGTGCGGTAATTCCAAATTAAAAAAATTACGTAACTCTAATGCTTTAGCCCAATGACGCCTAAATATTACATATTATTTTTACAAACTCTATCTCACAATATCAAATTATATATCTCAATATCAAACTTTCCAAAATCTATGTACTACATACCTGAAAATCTCTCCTTGTCAGCAAATCATGTTTTACTTTGGCTGAAAGGTTCTCCTGTATACAATGTATTCATCTACCTTCGAATTATTTATTTCAATCAACACAGCATTCTTCAGATGAACAGCACTTTAAAGATATAGCCGATTGTGAGATATGAAAATGGTTTGATTTTATTACCTCCAAACAAATCTTTTTTTTTTCGCAAAAAAATCCAAAATTTACAAAAGATGTCAAAGTTGCAGAAACTATGTCATATAAATATGTTGGTGACTAAATATCATTAAATATTATACTGCATATATTGTTCATTAAAAAACAAAAATGTAAAAAAAAATTAAAAGCTTATACATAAAATACTATATACATATATATGTATATTGTTAGATATATCTATATTTTGATTTACATATCTAAAATATTTGTACAAATTGTCCATGTTTAATAGATAATTACAAAACATTTTTTTACTTATACATGACTACCTTCTTATGTATACATAAGGCATGGATCTAAAATAAAAACTACATATGCTATAATTTACCATTAAACGTGCTGTCTAATTCCACGCGTTATCTAGAGAAGACAAAGGTCATTTTCTAATATTAACATAAAATAATAGCTGCAGCGTCCAGACTCTGCCAGCATTGCCAGAAGAATGCCAGACGTTGAGCTTATGTCTTCCAATGTTGTGTTTCATATTAAATGAGATGTCGACTTATCCATTCGATACAAAGATCAACTGTTGTGTTTAATAACTAAATACAAAACGAGAATGATGCTTCCATGCCAAGCCATATCTGCTGTTGCTGAATTGGCTCTCTGGAATTTTTGATGGACTCAGTTTTCGTCCTGTGAGAAACGCGCAACGTGAAAATTATGATTTCAGCAACATCGCCGTCACTGCAGCATAAAAATACTGCGGAAAGCAGCCTCGCGTTTACGATAGAATTTTTTACAGACAGCACGAAGTCGGAACGCAACCAAAAGGCAGGACACATCGATGAGGTTCGCTCGTTAAACGAGGCTATTATTTAGCCCACATAACCTTACCGAGGCATCGTAGGCACTTCCTGCACTCGTCGCGAGTCATCTCCGATCGCATCGGCCACATGATTCCACGACTCTTCCGTAGTCCGATCCGAGTCAGTCCAAGTCACACGAATAAGACAACGAAATCAGCGCGCGTCTCCCGAAGCATTTTCGAAGCCTCCGTCAGTATCCGTTGACAGTCGTGAGAGTCGTGCAATGTGAAGTTGTCTACTACTAGCACTATTTTATTACCATTCTCAATGAGAAAATCCCTGGAATTCCTGTTGGCTGAATTTATGCTTCGGGTCTTAACTCTAAAATCCTAAAATCCAACCAATAAGGCTGCCAGTCCTAACCGAAACTTGTATTCTATTGGCTGAATTTTAGGATTTCAGGGTTAAAACCGAAGCAGCACTAATGCCAACCGCATTAGTCGAGCCTCGAGCGACGTGAAGTTGACAGCTTTTATACAGGCGGAATCGCATGTGTCGACGAGTTTATTTATCCTTAAGTCTGGATTCTCATGTAGCACTGGCAATTTTGATATTGAGCGCTGATTGATAGAAAACGAGTTATGCAGATAAAATTTACCCCTTCACTAATCTTGTACCAAACATTAACTAAAAAGAACATATTAATATTATGAAACTGGCTAATTATACAAACAATAAATTTTTAAACTAAATGTTAATTAAAAGTATAACAGAAAGTTATTATTTCTTTTTTTTACGTACCACAGAATACATCGATTGTCTTTTAAAACAAGTACGTGCGCGCGCGCGCGCAGGTATGTGTACTACTACGCAATTAAATCTTTATTCAAGGTATATAATCAAATTTCTTCGACTACAATCTTAATTTAAAATCTCGTTACAGGGAGAATTTTTCAAATTTAGTCAGATTTTAATTTTTAAAAAGTGGAGATCGAACTTTCTCTCTCTTTCTCTCGCTCTCTCTCGGCGGAACTTTAAAATCATTCGTAAGGATTCAGCGATGCCCGAGAGAGAAGAAATCCAGGAATTGATCTGAAATTTACTGGAACAAAAATAATAGAAGTTGTAAGTTGAATATATAGGGAAAGAATTAAAAAATAAATAAAAATTAAGTTTTTGGAAGTAAAAATTGAGATAATGATACGTTAAAGAGAGAGTTTTATGTTTTTTTTACGCTTCATTATTTTAATTTTCTTTTTTTAGAAGCTTCGTTTACACTTCTGTATAATTCTTACATTCGACTTACATTTTAATTTTAATTTTTAATTTTATTTTTCATCTAAGAATTATCGAATTGTCGATTGATATTGTATGCGGTTCACTCGGGGTGCTTTCGGGGTGCGAACATGGCTGCCGGAGGATCGATAGGGATGCATAAGACATTAAATTTGCCTTGTGCCGCTACACGGATAGTGACTCCTCGCGATCTCTGTCCGTGAACGTCACCGTTTCTCCGGATATGCTGGGATATGCGGCGCAGTGACGCGAACTCATTCCCTGTGCGCGCGCGCATCGTTCAGCTGATTCGCGGTCGACGAGTGAAAGTGCTCCGAATACCTGTCGAGCCGTGAAGACCACGGGGCCTGATGGTCCGTGTGCAGCGCGATGCGTCGGACGTGAGGTGGTGACGTTCGGCCGTACCGAAAGTTCCTAATGCAACTTTAGGTAATATAGCATACAAAAGTCAGTGGTCGATTTCTCTTAAAACAATAATTAGAATTGTCTTTTTCCTCCTTCTCTTTCTCTCTCGTATTTTGCTTACTGCTAGTGTATAATAATGAAAATAAATCGTACAACTTTTTCTTTTAATCAGGACAATAATACAGAATTTTTCCTGAGATAGTAAAACAAAAGCGAATTTCTATTCTAATTGCAATTGATGCAATTTAAAAGATATTTTTATAAAATATTATAATTAACAGAGAGTGAAAAATGAATTCTTTTGAAACCTTGCCAATCTAAATTTTTTTATATATACAATAGTTAATTACATATGGCTGCAATGTCAGAGTCCTCCGTCGATCGCTTTTAATTGTGCATTGAAATATATATTTTAAAAAGACTACATATATATTAGTAATATAAATTCGTGTGAAATTATATATATAACTGTATAATAAATTATATAAGTAACTAAGATCCAAGATTAGACTGTTGTAGGCTTCATATTCATATTAGTTATGTTCTTACATTTTGACGGTCTTTAGATTTGAATATTGTTTATATATTTTAATTTTTATAATTCTTCCTACAGCTTGTTTTTTTGGAATTCAACACTCATGGAAGAGGGACTGAATTTTCAACAATTGTGGCTCTAATATGCATATTTGGAACTCTTTCTCTTATGCGCATGTGTGTGATAATAAGTAATAGTGTGTGCATCAATACGTTTTATTGTTAATACTCATCTGAAAAGAACTTTCTTTAACAACTATTCCACCTTCAGCATGAACATTGAGAACTTCTTTTTAACATATGCATAATACAACGTTACTTATGCAATAATCTGTATCTGGGCCACATTCGTATTGTGCGTTGCATTAATTGATACTCAAAGGAAAGACTGGATCTTCAACAGCTGTGATTTAATATGGACAGTTTGCAGCTGGTTCTGGTGATCATTTTTACATTTGTTTGCGGTGTAATATGTACCTTGGCGTTGCAGTTTTATCTGTTCAAGAGGTATTTAGAATCAGGACCTCAGGCTGTTCCGCCACAAAGGCAGCTGCAGCATGGCAAGACGCAATTACCTAAAGAGCTGGTGGAACAAATGCAGGAGGAACGGGCAAATTCCAATAATAGTATGGCCCGACAAGCGATGTCTCAGGGCAATGAGAATCTGGCTATAAACCTTACGTTGCAATTTCTCTTCAACGAGCTCCGAAATGCCGAGCGAGTACGTCTGTGGCTTTACAGGAAATTAAATAACGAATTTAAGGAGCTTCTGACGCAGTCGACCACCGCCAAACTGTTAGACAGTGTAAAAGTGAGAATTATTAACCTGAAACGATTTTAGAATGATATAACAAAAAGCACTTGTTCAAAAGCATTTGTAATAAATTTGTAAATAAACCCTCTCTAACTGTTTGCAGTTGAGAGACTTAAACCTTGGCACGCAATTTCCAACGATAAAGGGTTTGGAAGTCGCTGATTCAAAAATCGACGCCGACACAGGTTTGCTGGAGTCTCTGGACTTGGCCTTAGATTTACATTACTCAGGAAACTTTCAATTGTCTATAGATGTTAAGATGCTGCTCGGTAAAACAGCCTATATGGCGTTGCAAGGTACTGTATGATATTAAAAGTATAAGATGATATAAAAACAATTAAAAATTACTGTGTTATATTGTTTATACGTTATTAATTTTTATAGTAAAGCGTATCAGTGGTAAAGCTAGGCTGCAGTTTACTCGTGTACCGTACACACACTGGTCATTGAGCTTTTATTCTGATCCGATCTTGGAGCTGGAAGTACAATCACAATTTCAAGGTCGTCAGTTACAGCCACAGATAATTTCAATCATTACCAGTCAGATTAGGAGGGCAGTGAAGCGGAAGCATACTCTACCTCGTTATAAGATGCGTTATAAACCGTTTTTCCGAAGATTGAACGACGAGGCCGTGGATCTCTCAGAAGTATAATACTTTCTTCCTTTAAATTTATCCATAGTTTTAATTCACTTGTTATTTGCAAAAATTTCAATTCGAGAAATAAAGATTAGCTTTTATAATTTTCACTTTAATTTATTTTCATACAATATCTTTAACCATATTTTTTAGGTCGCTAGTACTCAACTTACTCCAGGATATTTGGAGGTCGTACTATTGGAGATCAGCAGATTAAATCTTGCACCTATCGTTCTCAATAACGCCGAAGACGTATCACAGATAGAAGTCTATTGCACTATGAGCATAGATTCCACACCATGGATTTACTTAACACAGTATAACGGGGTTCCATATATGGTGTTAGACTTAATCATCAGTAAAACGGGTTCCCAGCAGTTGGGTGTAGTATTCAAACAGGAGATTGTGCCAGAGATCGGCCAAATGTGCGTACTAGTTGAGACTATAGTATCCGGCAGTCCGGCAGCAATCGCCGAAATGAGAAAGGGTGACATTTTGGTAGCGGTGGACAGCAAAAAGGTGTCAAACATGAACCAAGTAGCGAAATTCGTCAAGTCCGCTGTACAACGACGTTTTATTATCAGGGTGGAAAGACGGTATTCGAAGGCAGATTCAAACGAGAGAGGACAAAAAACAGATAACGAGAGAATGCTTTTCGCAGAAAGAAAGACTTCGAAGAGTGATTCAGTGAGTAAGCTAGACAGCCCGAGCATGGAAGACGCCGGAAAGATAAAGTTCGAGACACAGATTAAGTTCTCTGATCTACGAGATTCTGACACTGATCTCACAGACACCCGATCGGAAACCAATAAGCTATTCAAGAGAAGAAAGAGCAGCATTCAGACAGAAGAAATCGCCCATACGCCGGATACTACGCCGTCTCGACGAATCTCGATGATTTCCACGTCATCGGCGTCATCCAGTAATGTTCAATTTTATCTTCCGGACGACAACAGTAGCACAAACAATATTGCTGATCTATATCACAACACGAAAGAAAAACCATATGCCTCTCTAATTACCTTCGAAGAGACCAAGAGCTTCCGGGTCGATTCTGAATTGCAATACTTAAATGTAGGTGTATGGGGCCGTGTGAAGAGCGGCGAAACACCACCGAGATTGCTTGGCTATATAAATGCACCTGTAAAATTAATCCTATCGCAGTGTTGCACCTCCACAACTGGACATTACCTAAAATGCCATGCTTTGTTACCTCCAGACAGTGGTAGGTGTGAAAAGAATTATTCTTTTCTTTTTAGTTATATTTATAACTATTACAAATATATATTATATACATAATTGTAAACGTAATAGGTTTGATTTTATGATAAGTCTTCTTAAATGAACATGATTAATAATAAAAGAATAAATTTCTTTTGCATCAAAATTTTGATAGATTTTGTTAGTTCTAAAAAGAATTAACTAAAAATAAGTTTAAAGAATTAATTATAAGATTTCTTTTAAAGCTTCTTTAGCAACATCATACGTAAGACTGCAGGGTTATTCAGGATTCGATCCAACACTCTGTTATGGCGACATCCTGCTATCATACGTATGGGAATCTTGTCGACCAAGCGATCTCACAGTTAATGATTTTGGAAAGAAGGAGAACGCAGAAACTGCCAAAATTCAACCGATTGCAAGCGAGGAAGTTACTGACAGAAAGATGCACGATTTTATCAGGACGCATTTCCACAGAGCAACACATTGCGATTTTTGTACGAAAAAAGTAAGTATGGCATTACAAATCAATAATTTATTTAATTTATCGAATTATTCACATAAAAATCAATAAAATTAATTATACTGACAATGAGTAAAAAATGTCAATTTTAATAAATATTTGATTTAATACTGCCAACTAAACATTTACTTACAATAAAAATAAATATTTGTTTAATAAAAAAATATTTGTTAAATCAAATTGATGGTTTTGTACCAAAATATATCTTTATAATTATTAAATATTATATTTAAGTGGTAGACTAAATATTTATTAGAATTTAAACTATATTTTTTCTCCATGTATGTATCTTCTTTTTAATTAATGTTTGTTGTTAATTTTTAATTAATGTTAATTAATGTATCCGAGGGAGAGAGAGAGAGAGAATTTGTCAAAAATGTAAGATATATTATATCTATGTAATCTAATTTTTAAAATAGAACTATTTTTATTTTACCAAAATTTTATTTTATTTTATTCCTATTTTTTTATTTTATTTCCTATTTTTATTCTACTTAATGATTATTCGGATTGTTTTCTGTGCAGATTTGGCTAAAGGATGCAGTACAGTGTCGAGACTGCGGCATGGTATGTCACAAAAAGTGCGAAGCACGTTGTCAGGCGTCCGGCACCTGCGGTGCAGAAAGTCTAGCAACGTTGGCCCTGGAAGCAGACGAGATCATCGGCGAACCAAACGTTGGGGATATCTCTAGCCCGGAGATCTCTCTGACTGAATGCGAAGATAACGTACAGGTACTCAAGACGTAGAACTTTAGGGCATTTTGCTATCCGCGAGCGTAATAATTTTGTATTGCGTTACTTGATGCTTCCTATACGGGAAAGCAGATTCGGACCGAAAGAAAAAAGACACTTAATCTTCGCTATTAGCACCTAGAAAACTTTAATTTATTTAAGAGAAACTCTATCTTAATAGTATTTTTTTTACATTAAGTTATAAACGACATAATATTTTGCTTTCTAGTCCGATGCTGTGAACCTTATAATTGAATGATTAATATCAGTAACATTATTTTGTATATTTGTATTATAATTTATATATTGCAATTCTTTACACAAATATGCAGTTTATAATCACATCATGACGTTGACGTTTTACAATCACATCATGACGTACATTCAATCAACTATATTACGAGTACATTATTTATTTATTTTTTAGAAATCACATTAAACGTTCCTCATATTATAATTTAAATATTGCCTAATATTTATATCTATCAATGTAAATAAAGAATATTTAAAATAACAAAAATAATATTAAAATATTATATGATGTACATCATATAATATTTTTATATTATGTATTATTACATAGATATAGATAATATATAATATATAAAAAATATAACATTATAATATTATATACAATATTATATTTAAAAATAATATCTATATTTATAATATTTTTATTATTTAACGTATTTTTAAATGTAGCAATAATGGACTTTGTTTTTGCATTTTAAACATATTCGGTTTTACTCAACTGTTATTTATTTATTTATACCTATATACAATGTTTTTTTATCAAGTTATACTATAAAGAGATCGATTTTTATGTGATATTAATTTTGTTGATATCGTTCTGAGCATTAATCATGTGGACACATCAAATAATTATCATTATTACATATCGATGAAATATAGGAGCGTTTAATGACATGTCACATGGTTAAGGGACTGTACAATTTTCGAAAATTCACGTGTGTCTTCAAATGCATTTATCTTGATATTTTGTATATAGCAGAGATTGTTAAGCGTGACTTGCATTTTGTTGTTGGCAATAAAATGAACTGAACATATGCACGGGGAGGTGAAGGTTCTTTGTAAGGCTTGCACCTTGACCATGCCTTTGTTCTCAATGAATTACATATGAGTAGATAAGTATGTTTAATTTCCTTTCTCGTATGAGGTCAACAGTGTTTTTATTTTTATCAATTTTCAAATTTTTTTAAATTATAAATAAAGCATATATTTTCTACTATCAACATATGTGATATTTGTGAGTAGTCAGCAAAAAAATATATTTTAAAATTATTCTAAATAAATATTTTTTTAACTTTTAAACAGATTCCTGTAACGTGGATGTACAGTATTAAAATTTATTTATATTTTATTTCGATCTAATGTGTCTTAGAATTTAGATAGCGATACATTGGCAAGTATAAAGCATTTTGAAATTCCGTAGATTGTATATATACGTTGTTGGTAAAATAACGTACGCTTTACGACAAAAATAGCGCAATCAGTTTTGTACTTCTAATTTATTATTTTACGAATAGCTTGTTATCGTAAATGGTGAAAAGGTATTAATCTATTTGAAATCCATTGATCGATTAATTAGGGCGCAAGTATGATGGCCATGAAGGCTAGTATAGCTAACACTCTATTGGGCCTGAAGAAGGCTGGAAGTACCAGTTGCTTGGCCCCACCGGCTTCCGGTATTGGTCTGGCATCTCGAAGTCTCCCCCCAAGTCCCTGTGCATCCCGCAAGGTAGAATAATAACACAAATTTGTTCGTTCGAAGCGGAGAAGGTACTCAATTTAAAAAAAATCTGACGAAATTTTTAACATTTATTTGTTAGTATTGCGATCCTAATGAGCAAAGGAAATAATGGAAGAATTTATGACAATTACATTATAATCTGAATATAATTATAAATAATTATATTTTATATTATTTTTAATTAAAAGATTATATTAAAAATATGTATGAAACATAATACTTTATAATTAGATCAAAGATGAATCTGAATTTTTTTGGTCTATATTCCGCGTTTTGTCTTCTATTTTTAAAATTGCATTAAATTTTAAATGGACTAGGAACTGTAATTTCAGTAAAATATTCTTTTTCTTTTGCATATATCATTACGCAACTTTCCATTTTACCATATAGTTTTTTATCTGGATTGCATTAAACCTTCTCCGCTTCATCTTTTTCCATGTTTTCTCAAATTGAGACAAAAGGAGAAAAAAGAACATATTCTTTGAAAAATTTTTGATATCTTACAGTTCTCTTGCTTGTGTGTTTATTCGCTTTAATCATTCCTTCATCAATCATGCCTTACAAATCGCCACCAAAGATAAACTTGTTAATTCTCACATAAGATGCAAGATAAAGTGATTAAAATGCATACTAACGATAAACAATAGAATTTGAGGCAATTATGATCCAGTTAATCATTAATTTTTCATAGATTATTTATTTATGAATTTCTGAATTTTCTAAATTCTCTCAATGTTTAGCGAATAGTTACTATCATCTACAGATTATTATTTCTATCACATGAGAGATGTTATATTTATCACTTGCTCGAAACTGCTGCAAGTTTTCTCATTGACGAGGATTTTCAACAACACGATGAACGCTGATCACAACACTGATTGCATTGCAATTGCACCTTAACACTGAAGGCAAGCTTCCACACGGTGATCATATAGATATAGGAAGATCAATGCGACTCACACGCATGATCGGTTCGACTGCTTGATTATATGTTTCACTTTCCGAATCGGCATAACATCGAACGAGGATGCATCTTTTAGAGAGCGCATCACATTAATCAGTCTAATGAAATTGTTGAAACGTTTAGAATTCATTGGCTGGAGGTCTGGGTATAAATCCTGACCTCTTGGAGGGTGCTGAGCCAAGTGTTGCAGCTCCACTTATGGCTGGTGATCTAGACGACGGTCTTATGTCAAGAGCCAGGGATACCGGAAAGTTCTTGTATAAATACTTGGAGCCGCAGGAGCGTGTCGAAAAAATCAACACCATGGTACGCAATATAAATTATTTTTAAGTATAAAAGATAATTTAAGAGATTTATCTTACAGAACTAGAAATTCATAGATTACTAAATCGAGCAAAAAAGTCTTCCTGATCAAAGAGTTCTAAAACCCTTAAATATTGAATCACCGTGATTTCAATAATAATAAAATTGCTTGCATAGTCAATGTAAAAAATTTAACTGTAGGAATTTATTAAATAAATATATCTTTTTGCAGATGGGAAAATTGAAGAACGCTTTAGATGCTGAAACTACCTCAAGATTAGAGCTGTCCCAGAACGGAGACGCGGACAGCATGAAACTGATCGCGCAGAGCGACTTGCGAGTGCAAGCACTAAGCGTGCTGCTACTACATTACTGCGCCGGCTTGCAACACGCGCAGGAGGCGGTGGACCGACCACAAACCAACAAGGAATTTTAACAGGAACTTATTCAATTAATATGACAGCTTTAAGAAAAAAAAGCGCATTTTCTCCTATTCCCCTTCTCTATAAAACAAATGAAAATGTAGCGATATTTTATAATGGAATAATGTATAATTGCTTTTGCCATTTATATGTATATTTCATAATGAGCAACGACTGGATAACACTAACACTATGTTACATCAATTTTATGATATTGATATTGCCGGTTTTTAAAATTAAAATATAAAAATTGTAATATTATCAGGCTGAATAAAATGCACGGAAATATTTATATTATTATGCACAGATAAATAGGGAGCAAATATCTAACAGTATTTATATTAACATTCCATCAGTGCAGATATCAGAGTCACAAATTATATCTTGTAATCACTTTTTCTTGTTTCTACTATTTACCGTATAATATTTTAGAAAACGTTACTTATGTAGCATTATTGTGACGTTACATGACGATGCATTTTAACGTTGATGTAACATTTTAAAAATATTATATATTACAATACTACAGAGAGAGAGAGAGAGAGAGAGAGAGAGAGAGAGAGAGAGAGAGAGAATGCGTGTGTTTTTGAATGCATATTACGCCATAGTTGTTCCAAGGTCTATTCTACATTAGTCAATTGATTGAAATTTTAACACAATTTACAATAAGTGTCGATAAAAAGACAAATGATAAAATGCAGTTATTAATTGGTGCAAATTTTTTAGTCCTGTAATAAATTTTTAAAAACAAATATTTTTAACAATTACAGTCTTCTTTCAAAATCTTTCAAAATCGTTTTTAAAAGAGATTTTATATTATTTTTTATATCTCGCTTAATTTATAGAATTTAATGTTAATATTTGTAAACGATTGCGTAATTATATATTTGCACTGTATACAGGATTAACCGAAATGCTGTGTGTGCGTTGTGCACGTAAACAATACATACGTAATTACGCACGCAAATAATTGTTAGATACACAAACTAACAATTTTGTGTATCTAACAAGACTTAATAATTTTATCGATTTATAATTTGTGTTATAATTTGCATTATAGCTGGATAATACTCAGAGATAGGATATTATATTTGCCCAGAGAGAACACCAAACTCGTTAAAATTAGTATTGATAGATTGTTATAATAATAATTATTGCAATGTGCGTAGGAACGTGCGTGTGTATTCACGCAACAAGAGAGTGCTCTTGCTTGTGAAATGTTATCTAAACAAGCTTTCCTTAAAAAAACAGTGCGATTTCCCAAATGCCTAAAATACATTTTATCTAATAACTATTTTATGCGATATACATATGTTAGGTTCGTGAATGTAATATATGATGAACATATTATTATATTGTAAATTTTTAAAACTATTTATAGATTGAGATGATGATTTGTCGCCATCATAGGTGATGATCTATCTGAACGGACAGTTGTTGAATATACGAGTAGTGCACAGTTGTGTACTTTACGCCAAAATACGTGTGATAAGAAGATGTCTTACACATTTCTAATAACATTTTCAGATTTTACGTTTCTTAACGAAACCAATTTGCGATCTTAATCGTTAAAAAAATATTTGACAGGAGGAATTTTATTATCTATACTGCTTTCTATGTATATACGTCTTTTAAATTACGGTACATTCTACTGTTTATGATCTTTATTAAATAGTTCACTTTCAGATTATAATCATACAAGGAAAATGGAAGTAAATGCCATGACGTTTTTCAGTATCTTACTTACGAATCGCAGATGGTGCCAAATAATTTAAACTGTAACACAGAACATATCTTTTAACTGGAACGATTATACTGAATGGCATTAAATAACATACTATATATTCGCATGTTAAAAATTAAAAAAAGGGTATGTTTCCGTATGTTTCATACTGAGAAAGAACTGGAAGCGAACGAGTTGGCGTTACATTTAACATTAGATATGATTCTGCGATTCCGATCTCTATTTACGTAAAAATGCATTTGGAAGCCATTTGACTGGCAACTGGATGGTTACGTGTAACGCTAAATGCGCTGAATGAATACAGATTTTTGCCTGTTGAATCTATAATCAAAGAATTTTACCGCTTTGGCCTAAATTGACGATATTGATATGATAATCAATGAAGAAACTGCAAAAATTTTGACTGTATTTAACTTAATTATTCACAGTGCATTTAATAGCATACGAACAGCTTCGTATTAGCGAAATCCATCCATAAGCATTTTTGTGTGGCTGTAATTTAAGGTGTTACGTGATTGCAAACCGATGTATTATCGCTCATTGTTATATATAAAGTGAAACATAAAAGTGAATACACATTGTTAATTATTGTAATTCTCTCTATTTATAATACGCCCTAGTATACGTACCTTATATATCTGTGATCTATTGATACTTGAAAATGCAATCGCATAATTCAGAAACTATTCAATTTCTATAATTAGAACTCTCATTTGAGAATTAATTGCAAATTGTATATCAACGCTATTATTTAAAATAGAATTTATTACACGTCTCTTCTACCTATGTTTCTAGCTATATGTTTTGCGTATTAAAATTTATTTATAATTTTAATAGTAATTCTTCACAAAAGTTTTACAATCTCAGAAGTGCAAGTACTAGACTGAAGTACTATGAAGTAGTAACGGAAGTTCATCGTATCACGTTCCGTGCATCTATAACGAACACGTTGCTCTCGACTGCACTTTGTTTGCGCGAGAAAGACTTTCGTGTCTTTATTTTTTGATTCACCCTCGTCTAAAGGCGCACGTGTTACAAAAGAGTCCGGCGCAGTTAAAGAGATACACAAAAGTCGCAATAAAAGTCACCGAGGCAGGATGGACCGCGTCGTCGAATCGTGTTGTTCGCACCGGGGAAATTCCACGATGAAAAATAGATATTCGCGAAAATCGAGGTCGCGTGAACGCGCGTCACGAACGCGACATTTATGTTGCAATCTCTCGCGCGTCTTTGCTGAAGATGTATTAAGTCCTCTCGCGATTATAACTAACTATAAGTTTTGCATTAATCGTACCTACTTGTACCCTCAAGAAGAGGATTTGTCTAATTTTTGTTCTGTAATTTAAAAAAATTGATTCTTATGAAAAATTCGAAATTGTGACAAAGATTCAATTTGCACAATTAGATGGGAATTTTAATGAAAATGAGGAAAATGCGCGATGAGAATAGTAGAACGTTAAGGGGAGGAACATGCTCATATGTACATCCGGCCGTGTTTGTGAAATCATGGTCGCGTAGACGATTTACCAGTAAATACCAAAAACCGAAAACGCAGTAGAGAGAACATGCGACTTCGTGTTACAAAGAACTGACGGACGTCAGCGGCGACGAAGTCACAGGGCCAATGTACGCTGGTTGGCAAGGATGCGAGCCAAGGTGTCTCTTCCCTCGATGTTTTCCCCGTTTCTTCTCCGTTGAAGAAGGAAAAAGACACGAACGGAAGCCAGCCAGCCAACGTAGAAACTGCAAAGGCATTTGATTTCTTCTGTATGTATATCAACATGCCGATATATATGTTGAAAAGTCCATTAATCTGAAATACTTTACTATAATGTTATCAAAAAAACTTGAACATCAATCTAAAATATCTAAATGATTGAAAAACGTAAAATTATCAAAATAATTGAAAAATATAAAAATTAAATATTCAAATGTTCTCAAAAAGAACAAAGTTAAATTAATTTGATATTGATTGAGTTACGATAAAACAAATAACAAATTCAATCAATAATCAGTCAAATTGACATTATTTGATTTTCTTGCTTTCCTTGGGCTCTCAAGAAGATTAAAAATTTAAAGACTGGGGATCTGAGAATCTTGAGATATGTAAAAATTATTTATGTCTATTTCTTTTGTTGATAGAAAAAAATTACAAATTATCTATAAATTTAATTTACAAATTTAAATTACAAATTTAAATTACAAATATTTATGTATCTATATTATTTAAAAAGAATCAAAGGAAAATGTTCAAAAATTTCAAAATTAAATCTAAGGGTTCAAGAATGACATACTGATCGAACCATCACAGATCGGATCCATGATCTGGCTCGTCATTTCATATCCTACGTCGCACGAAGAGGCGAAAACGACGAAAGAGAGAAGTCATGGGGGATTTTGGTCCGCGGTTGTCTATTTTCGTCGACAAGATGTACACGCAGTATCCTCTGGCTGCGGGCCAAGCATACCGCGGAACCGTATAAACATTTTGTCCCTGTTGAGCACTGAGCTTCACAATGAATGGAGAGCAAAGTCCTCTAATGCGGAGGAAGAAGAAGCGCTCGAGTGGGGTTGCAGACAGTGGTGAAATTTGTTTTACCAGCCCGGGTCTTAGTTGTTTTTCGTCTTCTTTAAGAAATATACGAGACTTTACAATTACGAATGAAACATTTTTAAATAAGGTTCAGCGAGATACAAAGGAAAAATAAAACAATGCCACTATTATTCTATTTTATAACAAGCCAAATATTGTAATGTATCAATGACGATTGACAAAAAATAAAAATACACTTGTAAAAATGATATTTTAAAAAAATTTAAAAAAAATACTTTTCTACGAATTCATAAAAAATATCAAAAAGCAGTCAGTTTCTAGCTTTCTCATGATTTTAGTTAAAATTAAATGTGACTGCATACTTGTGTCGTTTTGTACCACGATTGCACTTTTGGCAATTTCGCAAATTTCTCTGGACATTCGCATGATAATTCACTATTAAAGCGAAATAGTGACGTACATCTCCACCATTTCTCAAATATTGAATTACGCACAGTAAATTGAGAAACATATGGTAAAAGCAATAAACATTTTGCGCGTTTTATACTGCGCTTATTAAATTATATTTGCAAACCAGGTTCATATTTTTACGAAATAATATTAATTAATATTTCAGTTTCAAGTATTGTGTCTTCTACATCTAATAAATTGTTAGGATAAATTTTAGGATAAATTTTAGGATAAATTCTAGATAAAAACGTAAAATAGTACACTATGTTTTAGTATAGATAATGATATCTGGAAATTGCGCAGTGGGCAATTTGCCCCGACTCAACATAGTTTACACAATATTATCGACCTTCATTTTGCACGTTAGTTGAGTGAACAAATTTTGCGCATATATGCAGATAACTGCGATATATGTTCCATGTGCACAAAAGTGTCTTTGTATTTCTTCAAATATTTGACGTTTAACAAAAACTCAAAGTATCCGAAGACGTAATGGATATTATAGACTGCGCGACATTCCTTAATCTTAGCTTCTATGCTTCATTAGAAAAAAATCAAGCATCTCTCTTTGATATTTTATAAGTTTATAGAAAGCGAAAGCGACATGTTTTTCAACCTTACTATTTCTCAACTGATAATAACTATTTTATAGGAATGCACAGTCTATTGTCTATGTTAACATTCCAATCAGAACACAATATTTAAAAAATACTTTTGAAATATTTATTAAATATTTTTACATTAAATAAATATTTTAAAAACGTTTTAAAAAATTGTCTTCTAATTAGAATTACGATATAATTCTTTTGACGTCCTTTTCTATTTAATATATTTAAACAACAATTAAGCATTGTATTTTTTATGTAATGAACAGAAGTACTTCAAAGATACATTATAATATGAAAGGTATAGTTCTATAGGAGAAGTAATATAGTGGTTTATAAAACAAAAAGAGGATAATCTTGTTTAGGAATTTCTTTGTTCACAAAACTGCGTAGTCAAAAAGCTTGATGCGCGTCAACACTGATATTGGAGCTTTTTCGTCTCAATGCATAATCTTCATTTCTTTTCGGCAATGCTTACTTCGTAAACTTGTGATTGTAATGCAGTGGAACATATATGAGTCATATTCTGTGTAACAAAAGTAAAACTGAATTCATCGAATTGATAAATTTCAATTTGAGAGAGAGAGAGAGAGAGAGATACTTCTTATAGAAATTTGGTATACTTTTATATTATAATTTATAATATAATCTCGATACTTAACACAAGATCGAAATTAACTATTTAATTTGAACAATTCTAAATAATTAAAGAATTTTTCAAAAGAAAATTTTTTGAAAAGATTTTAAAAAACTTATATATTAGAAATAGTTTTTGAATTTGTTTACAAATTTGTTATCGAAGTTTCTTCTTAAAGAAATCGCTTTTTATCTTTGAAAAAAGCGCAAAATATAAAGATATGATTTTTATGCAAAAGTTTTAATTTGGCAATTTTAAAGATGTAAGCAGATCTAAAGATTTCAAGAAAATTCTGAAAAATTCTAAAATAATAGAGAGGAAGCAAAATCTCTATGATCTCGATCGATACAATTTTAATGTAGAGAACATTTAATTTAATAATCTTAAAATGACAATTTTGTTAATCACATTGATTATTTTTCTTCGAATGTCAAAACAAAAGAGACCTGCAGAGATTCTGAAGAAACCCTGAAACAGCAGGAAAACCTCGAATATAAACGTGATTCTAACGCGGAAATTCCAACATCGAATTTGACAGCTTGCATGTCGCGCAGTGCATCTGACTGCGTTTGTTTTCAAACAAAGAGAGGGAGAGTGGATACACACACACACACACACACACACACACATACAAAGTAGTCAGCTGTTTCGTGACGCTTCCCCGATGGCGGGGGAAATGGCGAAGGCTTAAATAGCACCGCGTACACTCATGCAGGCAGTGTTGACGGAGTCACCTGAGACCGACTTCGGTCGTCGTAATAGTCTTCAGGAACTGCAAAAAGACTGAGACCTGTAAAGTCCTTGCAATTCGTGCAGGAAGTCAGCTGGAGCTGCACTCCGCTGAAGTTCGCTCGCGAGAACGAGGATCGCGCTCGAGCTGGACTTTGTCTTGGACTTTTTCCTGAAATCGTGCGAGATCCTGAAAAACAAATGTCCCGGTGAAGAAAATAAAAAAATCTACGTCTTTTCAAATTCGGAGAATCTCCCGAGGAATGTTCTGATCTTATTAGAATTAAATTTGAATTCCGAAAAGAGTTTTTACAAAGAAGATCATCTTTCGTAAATATTAGGATCCGATCTACGCGGATATTCATCCTGACAAAATTTTCTGTGTGGAAGAAATCGTTTCGACTACGTTGAGATATACAAAATTCTCTGTTCAGCCAAGTTCTTTCTGTATCTTCGAATTTATTGGATACGATATATAGATCTTTGCCAATGATTCGCAACGACTATCGACAGTTGTAAAATTTATACGAAGACTAACTACCGTTTAATTGAAGCTTACGAAATGTTCTTTTAGCGATTACAATAGAAATCCAATAAAAGAAATTGTTCGTCTACGAGTGTACGAAGATCGGTGCAGATTTTCGACACAACCAACTCGAAAGAGAAATTCATATTCGCGCGCTTGTTGCGGTATTGTATCTATTGCAATTTCTCGTACAACGAAGTGTGAAGAAACATGAGGCCGCCATACAACGAAGGAGAGGTGCAGCAGATCTCGCAGGAGCAAGGCGAAAGAAATGTTGCGATGGCAGTTTGCGTTCAACTGGCTGGTCGGGCGATCATCCGAGTGGTTTCACGGTGTGAGGAAGCCCAAGATAATTGTAACTTAGGTAAGGTCGAGTGTGAAGAATACCATAAAGTCATTTTAAAAAGCGTTCTAAGTCTTAAACTTTTTTCTTGGATATCTGGAACAATTTTGAATCTTTGCAACGATTCTGCTCATCTTTGATTAGCTCGATTGATTAATTAAGTGTCAACTGTGATTATAGTGAATAATCAGCCGATTAATCGGAAATGATCAGAAGATAATTCGAATTTTTAAAAAACAATTTTTTAATTTTTTGGAACCATAAAGTTTAATAAATTTTAATGCTAAAATGTATAACGGATATATATTTGACTTATGTATAAATTAAGTACGAGTTTGATACGATAAGATGTAAGAATCTTTAATTTGATAGATTTTCGACTTTCGTTATAAAATGGCGTTGTGCTATATTTATATTAGCATCTATCCTAGATGGTTAGAGAAAGTTAATATAGCAAGTATTAAATTAGTTAGTGATTAATTATTTATTTTGAGTATTAAACGTAATAACAGTACTCACAATAAATAATTAATAACTAGATAAAAAGTCCAAAATTGTGGTATAAGACGTATTATTAAAAATCTTTTTAAAAAATGTCTTTAAAACGTCTTTCAGGCATTTTTAAGATATCTCGTTTTTGGACATGCGCGTGTTATTTATGGATAACTAATTTAATATATATATATTTATAATATTAAATTTTTTTCTATAAGAGTAATTAAACAGTACGGTCAAAGTTTCACTATAAATGCTTTGGAGCATTTGATTGATTGGGAAGAAAAATGTTTACTAATTGACTAATTAAAAATGTGCAAAGCATTTGTAGCACATCATATATTAATTGTTCTCAGAATTATCCATATAAGAAACGGTTGTCTTACGAAAAAGTCGAGCTTGTAAATACCATATACATATGTGTATCTCACAATCAGTGTCACGATACCTATACTTCCTGATTTGAGATAACTTCCACCCTTACCTTATCTGTAATACACCATCTGCGCACATTGTAACCTTGATTAGCAATACTTTTACTGGTTTATAATATGCCGGTGTTTGTGACTCACACACAACCTAGAATTTTATAAAACGTTCTCCATAGATTACGATTGCGTAGAATGTAATTAAACGCAGATTAGAATTTAATAAACATGAAAAATAATAAATTTAAGAATTTCTAAAATTAAAAATTTTTTAAATCGGGGCTTATCATGTAGATAAAAAATGTAGTGCCGAGCAAAAGTTCACGAAATCAAAATATATATGATATTTACTACAAAAGTTTACAAGTTCAATTTTCAAAATTTGTAGTATCACGATTCCACGAAATCGGAAATTTAATACTTACATCACAGCCAAAAGAATTTATCGAATGAAATATTTATAGTAACAGATATCTGCAATAAGAAAATGTAATATGAAACATTTTTTCTTTGTATAGAATAAGTATGATATTTAAAATCAGCTATAAAAAATGTGATGTGAATAAGTCTATTGTTTATTTTATCATTAATTTTACGTTTCGATTAATATTGATTAATATAAAGGTCTGGATAGTAAAGATATTATAAATGATTACAATGGAAACAAAGATTTGTTAAAAATAACCGTAACATCAGAAATCCGATTAGAGAAAGTTATATTAATCTGAAACTGACGATCTATAAAACGCAGTTCCTACGATACAAATATAAGATTTGCAGTACAAATCAATTATCGGATTACGATAAAAAATATCGCAAATGTGGTAAGCAGTAGATCGCAACAACGCATTTCTGCGTATTGTCACGTTAATAACATCTATCTTATCTAATGCATTATCGATGACTCAGTTTGCTTTGTATAGCTAACGAACTCTCCTACTTTCTTCAAGATTTATGATCGTTTTTCTCACACGCGTAACACTATAGTTATTGAAAAAAATAGAAAGAGGAAGCAAGGAACAGCTAATAAAAATTGATCTACGATTGCCGAGCGTCGGGACGCAACGTATTGACGATTTCTTGTTGCAGCTTAGTAAAAAACTTATAACATAGTTCCGTAGAAAGTACGGATCATGCCAATGACGTACTCATCGCGTAAAAGCAATCATATGTAGTACGTGAAGAACATTTCCGTTCTACTTTGCAATTTCATATTAATTTCATTAGAAATAATAATTATATCATAATGAGCGCAGTATAAAAAAATGCATGAATGACTACAAACATTTTTCTTTTTCTTATTTAATGTTTCTGTGATATACCACTTGTGAAACAGATCATAATGATATAACCATAACAATAAATCACAGTTATGCAAAGATAATTTATGTGTTTTAAAGATTTTTAGAAAACATTCGGATTTCCTGCAAATTAAAAATCAGTATAGAATATTTATGATATTTACAAACTAAGTTGCTACTATAACAGCTAATAAAATTGAAAGCTGTATGAAACTTCGCTTGTGGAGGAATGGATAAATAAACGCATGGCGTTTCTCGAGCATCAACTCGGATAAAAGTGAAATGTTCGCTTCGCAACTCTGGCATAGATAATTCACTGGATAAACATTGCGTTATACAACGCGCGTATCCGGCCTTTGTCTCTTTCCGTCTCACATCATGAGCTTCACAGAACAGCTGTGATCCTCTGGTTGTATCTTCGTCTGATATTCCGACTGATCGTGCGTATCTTCGGGACACCCAATGCATACACGAAAGGTCGATCTCGGAATAGTAAAGGCGAGCCTTGGCAATGTTGATCTACGCGCACCGAATATCGCCAGAAGGCTATGTTCTCTTCTTTTTGTAAATCTTTTTATTATGTAGCTTTACATATCAAACGCGAGATGCATTACAATACAAATAAGAGCGACAAAAAGTAACTGTGTAACATTTAGCAATAAATCTCTCATATCATAGATCCTTCAATGATTTTTAATTCCAGACCAAGTCTGAATTACAGATTTCCGATTTTGTAGAATGATTTTACAAATTTGTAAAAATGTAAACGATGTAATATAATATAAATTGATATTTATTGATATTAAATTAGATTACAAAAATTAGCAATCAAATTTCCAATATTGCATCCAATAAAATAGAAAAATGAGTTGTATAAAATATTATTTCCTGTTATATCACGTTTATGCTACAGGCACGTAAACGCTGTTCCGCTTTAGCAGATGTCGGAGCTAAGGCTTTCGTTGCGTGGAAGAACGATCTCGTGCGAATCCAGAAATGCAGGAACTTTTCAAAGCAAAACGCACAAACGAGTCTACGACGCGAGAAGTTTCCGTATAGGGCCTCAAGACCTTAAATGGTAGCTTGTCATCGGCTCTTTTTTTACTATTTTTGATAAAGAAAAATGATCGCACGTGCATTAAGTACAGCTGGACGCAGAGCAATAGCGAAAAGTAACTTTCGTACTAATTACACAATGACTCTCATACTAATTGCACAATCCTCTGTTCGAGCATTTTATCCTCGTTTATCATTTGCCCGAATTATATAAGTCGTCCCGCAACAACGCAATATAGAGATAATAATCTAAATACTTAATTGTGAAAAAATATCACTTTAAATTCAAATAAAAATAAGTTTAAAGAATTAATGAAAAATTATTCATAATTTTTGCAGAAAGGTGTTAAATCGTGCTTTTTCTCTTTTTACTCTACTTTTTTCAATCAACTTACGTTTATCATGATGTCAATTTCGAGCAGGCTAATTACTCTGAATTACTTGGCCTCTGCACTTAATTTTGATACACTATATTTTTATGAGTTATGATGTTTTTATCAGAGATTGAATTTATATGATTATTTCTTGATTCTTTATAAAAAATGAATATTTAAAGCTTGAATACTCAACATTTTTGATAAGAATCAAGAAATAATTGTACAAGATATCTGATAAAAACATTATGATTCATAAAAATATGTTTTATCTAAATTAAGTGCATCAAGGTCAAGTAATTAAGAGCAATCAGCTGTCCAGAAATATCGCGACAAACAAATAGCAATCTGAGGACTATTTTCACGCTTGTCCATAGGTTCACAAAACATCCAAAATTTTAGTTGACCAAGCTTGTCAAACGTTTATTTATCAAAAAGTGTTCTAAATTTTTGACTAACGATATCGGCGCAAAATGTACAGTTAGCGCAATCGTAGTTTGGCTGTCGTGGAAAATTAGCACCTTCCCGATCTTCTCCTCAATAACTCGCTTTCCGAAAATGAGTCGTGATGAATATCATGGTCGGCCAGGTGGTGGAACTTATTTCGGCAGGCACACACGAAAATAAATGTTTCAAACGCAGTCGGAGTCACGCCGGTGAGTCAGTACGACGACGGCCAAAATGGCAAACGCTGTAACAAGAGTGATTCTTCGCTGTGAAGAGGCACAAGAGAACGAGAGCCTCGGTAAATTGCAAAATTTTTGGTGAAAGCGATCGTTCGTGATTCAATTTAAGACTATTACACATATAAAAATTTTAGTTATAATTGTAAGTTCTCAAGCAAATCGACCAATCACGATCAAAATTGATATTTTATATTGTATTTTAAATACACTCAAAACTGTGATTGGCTTACGGTCTTACGATTACAACTGAAATTTTTGTACGTCGCGCTTAAAATACTAATTATTATTAACGGGTTCATCGCGATGAAATTTCCGTGTGTTTTCGTAATGCGTTTCGCATTGGTGCACGTCCGAGACATCATAGTAATATAATTACGAAGATACGATTGGACTGCGATACAATGCCCAATTCGAAGGAATTTTATTATACGGTTTTCTCTTTACGTCAGATTTTAGAGATTTCGATATTCAACAGAAGACCCAGATTTGCAGAAAAATATTTACTGTTTACGACATCAGTTCTGTTTTCTATAGCAGATTTAGTATACTTGTATAAGTGTGTGTGTATTAGTGTATTTGTGTCACTTTTAAAACATAAAGTGAAATATGTTTGTTATTTACGACATATTGACGAAAGCGAGAAAGAAAGTGCAATCTAGTGCAATCTAGTGCAGGAATAAAAAGGAGAGACCTAATTTTACCTCTCTTGATCGAACTGTGATAGCTTCGATATAAGAAACAAAGAAAAAGAGAATATTCTTTATTGTACATGTAGAAAATAAAGAAAGCCATTTTTCTCAATTATCTGGAATTTGATTAAGATTCTTTGTTTGACTTCACGAAGCGTTAACAGATCTACGTTTAAATTGTTCCTCGGATTGCTAAATCGGACAATTCCGCGGTTTGTTATCTTCCCGGAACTGCGCGCTCCAATGTTATAATGATCGCGATGATTGATAAATATATAATGCGGAATACATTTGTTCCGTAATGCGTTCTCAGCTCCCGCGTCCGAGTTAGCTTCAACGACGGTCTTCCGTGCTGGAAACCGCGCCAGAGAAAGCGTGAAACGCGGTGCACTGACGTTAAGTGCACTTTCAGCAGTTATGATGCACTTAGACTGGTGTTTTCCTATTTTTTTTTTCGAGTGACGGAATACTTACCATTTTATTATTACAACTTAATAACCGATGCTGTCGATATTTGAGAGAGAAAATCATATCTTCTCTGTTTAATTTTAATCTCGAAGAAAGAACTCTGTGTGCGATAAACTAGACTGCCGTAAGATAAGACATTGGAAGAATAAAAATTCACTTTTAGAGAATTACTTATTTCAGCTAATACTTTGTCACTGGAATGTTGATATTTAAAGATTATTATTGAGCGTTTAAAGAGTGGGACATTTATATAATAATTATAATAGGATATATTTGAAAGTAAAATTGAATAAATAAGCAATAAGAAAGAGACATTTATATAATGAATAATATTTGAAAGATGTAAAATTAAGTGAATAATGGTCTTCATTTTCAATATTTACGAAAGATATGCAATCGATCCTCGTTTCAAAGATGAAGAAAATAAAAATAAGTATTAATTTTTATTTTAAAACATATTTCGTAGAATTCGGTACTGAAATTAATTAATTTCGAAAATTTATTTTAATTGATACAAGTGGCAGAAATTATCGAAATCTTGGAGAATAATAATTTAAGGCAGTATTATGTTATTTTTTTTTTCAGGAAACTGTACGCTCTTTCGTTTTACTTTTTAGACTTGTCTGAGTGCCAGCTCATGCAAATCCCAGACGCAGTTTACCATCTGATGCGGCATACGGAGTTGAAGAGATGCGACCTCTCCGGTAACGTGATCACAAAAATTCCAGCAAAGTTTGCTGTGAAATTTTCATTAATCACTGGTAAGCGACAAGTTACATACATAAAGTAGTTTCAGATTGCTGTTTTTTTTCAATATTTATATAAAATCTATCTTTGGGAGAATTTTTGTTTAATATTCCTCGTTATTCAACAAAACACGTTTACAGAACTGAATTTAAGTCACAATCAGATGAGCAAGCTGCCTGAAGAGTTAGCCGAACTGCAAGCTCTGGAGAGACTCGATATCTCGCACAACACTTTCATCTCTCTGCCATCAGTAGCTTGGCGGATACCGCACCTGAAACGACTTCTCGCTAGCAACAATTTTATTATTGGTCAGTAATTTTTCATTTTATTTCTTAAATAAAATCAAAGTGCATTTTCATGCTGACTCTCGACGCTCATTCTTAGCTCAGTCAAAATAGATATTCGTCAATTTTTATCACATGATCTATTTTGACGCTAAAAATGAGCGTCAAACAACATGAAATGGCACCTTCATACTTTTTGCAAAAAAAAAAAACGGACCAAACTTTCCGATTAATCTAATAAAACTTAGAATAAATTAGATATGCATCAGAAATATTGATACTAAATATACTACAAGGATTAAACTCGAATAATTTTGATAAATCCAATTCCTGATACTGTGAATCGAAAAATATTTAAGCTAATTATTGCATTACCATCACGTTAAAAATGAAAGGACAATTTTCGGTTGATCTGAATCAATAAGTGTTCTTAAAATGACTAACACTGTTGATTGTTTATTCCGTAGATATTGATGTCGAGAGGCTCAGGCACGCACCTGTTCTAGAATTTATTGATCTGCAAGCGAATCCTCTTCCGCCGAGATTGCACGATCTTCTACGTACTCTGAGGATCACAATTGAGCTTACTCCTCGGCAAATCGAAGATTGGGAAGACTTGAACGTTTAAGTCACCTCCCAAGCGAGAGCAGCCTATTTCGCGACGGAAGACGACGGAGAGGCGGTTCCGTCCCTCGTATTCTTTCGACGAAAATTGCTCAAAACTTTGCGCGTACTAGAAGTAGAATCAATATTTTGTACAGTGATAACGCGAGCTGTGTGATAACAAGTGCCGCGGATCGTAAATCGATGATTCGCTTGTATCTTTTGTAAATGTCACTATAGTGATTTGTATCTGTACTTAATTATCACGGATCTGTTACTGGATATCAATCATGTAATTTTTTCCTTAGGGTGGAAATGTAAAAAGTGAAAATTTTTTATATATGTATATGTGTATGTTCATACGCACATAAAAATTTTCACTTTTCACATTTTCGCTCTAGAAAAAATTTACATGATCGATCCCTCGTTTTTTTTCTTTTATATTGCATGTATTTTTAGATTTTATATTGAAATGCTAGTCATGAACGATGCAGTTGTGATCAATTGTCGAATTCAAGAATTTTTAGATTTAGAAATGTTTTAATATCAAAATGCTTCCAGTATCGAATTTTTGGTCTTTTAATAAATCATTGAATAGCTTAAATCCTTTGAAAGATTTTCTGGAATTTTTAAACGTTTAAATGACAAATTTAAATGTGCGATCCCTAAAACGTGAAAGTCTCAGATCTACAAAGTTTAAGACTTGAAGAAATATTTGCAAATTATCATTTTGTCGTTCATGAATACAACTTGTATTGACTGTATTATTAACGTAATTTTTGTTCGTTAACGTTACGGACACGTTTATTGCTATGTACTGCCGATATACGATACTTTATATAACCGACATAGCGCAATCTTTTTGACATTAACATTTTGTACTCGAGTATTATCTGAAAATATAATCGACAAAAAAATTATAATTTACTCGATTTAATGTTACTATATATTTATGAAACATTATAAAACAATATAAAAATAAAGATTTTGTAATTCTCTTTCATAAATTACATTTTGAAGGGATGTTTAATATGCCTTATTTTAAATCAGATATATAAAAAGATCAGATATATAATACTTTACAAATTAATGAGTTAAATGAATTCTGACTTTACAGCTCGAGCACAAAGTGTTAATAACGAATGACAAGTGTAATACTATTAAAATAGCTGTTAGTAGAGCGTCTGGATATATAGGGTGCCCCGTAAAAAAATCAATATAAATTTGCAATCGTAAGTTTGCAAATGTTTTCGCGAAACTATGCGCACTTAGCGCGTCGAATAGTAACTATAATTGTAAATTGATTTATTTCCTGTGCTTTTGATCTAGTCAGTCATTCTCAGACGTAGAGGTCTCAAGAGTTACGGACACATAACTTTATCTCGGATTTACGGACAATTGCAAGGGGCATTTGAATACTTTTACAGAATCTAGAAATTTATGAATATATACTTAATTATTTTAAGTTCTAAATCAGAAAAATGCATAACTGTCACTAATGAATCCGTTAATCTTCAATTACATCCTTAAATCTACAAAAATTTGAATGTAATTTAAGACGTCACAATGCAGCAGCAGAGAAACATGAAAACGCATTTTTTAAATCGTATTTCGCAGGACACTGCTCCTAGTCTATATACATCCTAATTACAGTGATTATCGCAATTTATATCCTATTTATACGTACCCTATCCTCGCGAGAGGATTTGTGGGTCAATGAAGCTGTTGCTTCGTATTATATTTTATATTTATTCGCTGCTTTGATACGTTGGTAGTTAAAATTTTGTAAGATGTGTATCACAATTGTATAAAATATACATAATACAATTTTTACAATAGAAAAATAGAAGCTAAATCTATCCAGCGTTTGTGGTATATGCTCATTTTTAATTCCTTTGTTTAGAGAATTTTATCTTGCTCTGGGGTGCGTCACATCCCACTTGGTGTCTGTTTAACTCTTCGTAGATGATTAAAACCGTGATTTTAAACCGGCGTTACACGAAACTCGTTTTCCTGCTAGATTGCTAGCTAGATTAAAATCTTGCCACGGTCTTGTGGCATTATCAGCACAGCAGCCAATACAATAGCAAGAATCTAAACCATTTACGAAATATTGTGATCCTTGTTGAATGCCTATGTATGGAATTATCTTAGTCTTCTATGTTTTCTATCTCATATATTGATGATATAGTGTGCAAAAATATTTTTGTAGATTTTGGAAGTGTTGGAAGTAATTTATATCTTAATATTTGTAATAAATTATTACTGTGCAGATGAGGTATATGATACCATTTCTGTAGCTCTTTTATTTCATTAAAGTCATCTTTATTAGATTCTGAATTGAAGGTACTTTCATGCGGCTTTTCTTCATTTATGTTATCCATATAATCTGAATTATTCTATGCAATAAAATTAATATTATATTAATGTAAGTCAAATAATTAAAATCACTATACTATAAAATTCTTCACTACTCACCTGTATATTTCATTTCTGTGTAACTATTGCTCATTGATCACTTTTTTTCACGTTGCGTAGAATATTTATTATAACTTCAATGAATAAAATATCAACGCGGTCGTACCTGATCTAAAATAAATCATATACGAACGTATGTATAAGGTGTGCTGAAAAATATCCAAAATATGAAAAATTTCTTCAGTTTAAAAAAATAAAACAATATTTGAAAGTTCTGAAAGTATTACTATTAGTATATCTTCAGCTATCTCCGATTTTATATTGTACCGATTACATCTCTCGTCATTACAGTACTTCGGCTGCAACAAAAATTTTCAAAGATTTAAAGATATGAGAATATTCACGTTTTATGAAATACGTTGCAATTTGATATTACGAAATATAGGATATATAGAGCTGCTGTATCTTGCACAGGCAAGAAAATAAAACACACGACAAATAATAATAAATAATAACAGCGGCGAATGTTTCAATCTGCTAATTTTATATAATTGTGAGTTCAATGAATAAAATTTTTGAAATCAACTAAATCTCTTATATCTTTGTAATGCCAAAATGATTAAAGTATCTTTTGCTTTGTGTAATAATAATCACTTGAATAGATAGATTTAATAGAATAGATGTTAGATAATACTATGATTATTATTATAAACAATACTGCTCAAGGCGTATTCGTATAAATATGAATATTATTCAAGATTTAATAACTATTATTATGACATTTATACATTTTTTATTTTTATATAACAACAAAATAGAAATTATGACATTAAAAAATCATTATAGTACAAAGAGTAACTTTGAACTGAAACTAATCAAACATATTTTTCAAAACATGTTTTATAACAGACAAAATTAAATATTAAAGATACGAGAGAGAGGAAGAACTCTGGATACAAAAAGGCGCAAATATATGTATTAGGCACGTTTTAACGTATTCGAAACAGTTATATTGGTTTAGTACCTGTATTTTTCAATATTAATAATAATAATAATAAAAATAATAAAGTACAATAAAACGCAGAATTAATTATCTACAATACTTGTTCGCGCGTATAGAGAATCACAAAATATACATAAAACAGACACAATGAAAAGTCGGAGCGTATACATACGGCCCCGTTACTTCTTTTTGACATAATCACCGAGCAATTCTCTTGTTTTCGCCGTTAACGAACCGGAAGCGATCAAGAGCAGGGGCAGAATGCGCGTGTGCGTATGTATGTATTGAGTGAACTGATCATATTTATTCGTGTACTTGCGTACGACTATACGTGAAGCTACGCCTTTTCTTCCTGACGATCGAATATATAATATCTATATATATATATGTATAATATATACATATACATTCAATACACGAGAAAGTTACGATTCCCGGATTCTGCTCGGAAAAATACGATAAACGCACCAGGTTCTCGTGATCGCGCGGACTTCCTTTCAAGACATGTGGATCAAGGATCGAATCTTTCTGATATACTTCTATACACTGTGCTTTAAAAATATTCATCGAAATACTCGCTATCGCAAAATTTTGCCCGAAATAACAATAGTGGCAAGCCTACGACGCTAAATCTTCTACAATTACAACTTACCGCCTATGATTATCGCGAACACTATTTTTTGACCATTAAAATATACCGATGTATAACATTAATGCAGCACAGAATTTACCACAGAATTACCCGAATATTTAAGAATCAAGCTTTTGTCCATGACAGAAGCGAATCCTTCTCATCTTAATATTGATTCTGGCACTCGCATACTGGATAGCCTCGCTCTCGCTTCCATCTCCCTGGCAATATTTACATAAATCTATTATAACTAGTCACATTCAGGCAACTTCTTAACACGATACGCCGACTGGTCCATCGGAACAACCTATTTTTCGTCACAAACTGATGTTACACGTAATCGGAAAGATTTTAGGACCCTCCGTTTTTACAGATATCTCCTTTTACTTAATCTCGATTACATGAGCTTTAAATAAAACAATCTTAAGTCTGTAGATTCTTAAAAAATCACAAGTTTCAAGATTTAAAAAAATCCTTGTATTGCAAAAAGTTTTAATTTTGTAAATCTTGGCACATCTGACGTATATTTATCCAACTTTATCAAACCTTCGAAAAATTAAAAACTAGTCTCCGCACAAATTCTAAATGCTACTTTATGATTTCTTGGAATCAAAGAGACATAACTTTAGGAAAGTCAATTTCATAAAATTGATTATATGTGAATATTTAATTATAAATCCTAATTATATGTATATAAATTCTTTACCAAATTTTATCCTGTACTATGTGCGGTCTATGTGTTTTCATAATTTCTGTATTTCTTCTTCAATGCCAATGATCTCAGAATCTTGTCGATTTTTGCGATTTCGATTACGAATGTCAAGATTTTGCTCGACTCGCGCGAGTACGACGAAACTCTAGCAGCGATCAGTCTCGTGTTCTCTTAGCGTGATAGTGAGCCCTGTCCGTGTAACAGCCGGCCGCCTTTTACGACGAGTAAAAGGTACGTCGAGTCGAGTATACAAAAAAACGATAAAACTTCGGTGCGGCAACGATTACAACAGTTATGATTAATTTGCAATATTGTGACAAGTAAGCGGATCGCGATTATTATTACTAAGATTGTTACTTTTCTTTTTTTTAACGGGGTCGTTAAATGTTTGTTTCGTGCATTTACACGGAAAAAGGATAGTCGAAAAGTCATGTGAGTGCATTAAGGATCATTTCACTACCGATTCTTCACGAAAAGACATCGCGTTTTAATCCTTAAGCAGCTACATTAATGTAATTATGCAGCGAGCTTGAGAACTTATA